CACACAGTAACACGTAGTTAGTGACACACACACACAGTAACACGTAGTTAGTGACACACACACATAGTAACACGTAGTTAGTGACACACACACACAGTAACAAACACACGCAGTTAGTGACACACACACATAGTAACACGTAGTTAGTGACACACACACATAGTAACACGTAGTTAGTGACACACACACATAGTAACACGCAGTTAGTGACACACACACATAGTAACACGTAGTTAGTGACACACACACATAGTAACACGCAGTTAGTAACACACACACATAGTAACACGCAGTTAGTGACACACACACATAGTAACACGTAGTTAGTGACACACACACATAGTAACACGCAGTTAGTGACACACACACACAGTAACACGTAGTTAGTGACACACACACACAGTAACACTTAGTTAGTGACACACACACATAGTAACACGTAGTTAGTGACACACACACACAGTAACACGTAGTTAGTGACACACACACATAGTAACACGTAGTTAGTGACACACAGACAAAGTAACAAACACACGCAGTTAAGTGACACACACACATAGTAACACATAGTTAGTGACACACACACACAGTAACACACACGCAGTTAGTAACACACACACACACACACAGTAACACACACACACGCGGTTAGTGACACACTCACATAGTAACACGTAGTTAGTGACACACAAACACAGTAACACACACGCAGTTAGTAACACACACACACACAGTAACACACACACACGCGGTTAGTGACACACACACACAGTAACACACACACGCGGTTAGTGACACACACACATAGTAACACGTAGTTAGTGACACACACACACAGTAACACACACTCAGTTAGTAACACACACACACAGTAACACACACACACGCGGTTAGTAACACACACACACACACAGAGACACGTAGTTAGTGACACACACACATAGTAACACGTAGTTAGTGACACACACACACAGTAACACTTAGTTAGTGACACACACACATAGTAACACGTAGTTAGTGACACACACACACAGTAACACGTAGTTAGTGACACACACACATAGTAACACGTAGTTAGTGACACACAGACAAAGTAACAAACACACGCAGTTAAGTGACACACACACATAGTAACACATAGTTAGTGACACACACACACAGTAACACACACGCAGTTAGTAACACACACACACACACACAGTAACACACACACACGCGGTTAGTGACACACTCACATAGTAACACGTAGTTAGTGACACACAAACACAGTAACACACACGCAGTTAGTAACACACACACACACAGTAACACACACACACGCGGTTAGTGACACACACACACAGTAACACACACACGCGGTTAGTGACACACACACATAGTAACACGTAGTTAGTGACACACACACACAGTAACACACACTCAGTTAGTAACACACACACACAGTAACACACACACACGCGGTTAGTAACACACACACACACACAGAGACACGTAGTTAGTGACACACACACACACAGTAACACACACACACACACGCAGTTAGTAACACACACACACAGTGACACGTAGTTAGTGACACACACACACAGTAACACACACACACGCGGTTAGTAACACACACACACACAGTGACACGTAGTTAGTAACACACACACACAGTAACACACACACACGCAGTTAGTAACACACACTAGGGGTTGTATGATCTAGTCGACTTTCATTACTTGACTGTCGACTTTAAAAAAAATAAAGTCGTGCAGGCCCTAACACACACACATAGTAACACGTAGTTAGTGACACACACACACAGTAACACACACACACGTAGTTAGTAACACACACACACACACAGTAACACACACACACTCAGTTAGTAACTCACACAGTAACACACACACACGCAGTTAGTAACACACACAGTAACACACACGCAGTTAGTGACACACACACACAGTAACACACACACACACGCAGTTAGTAACACACACACATAGTAACACACACACACACGCAGTTAGTAACACACACACACAGTAACACACACACACACACGCAGTTAGTAACACACACAGTAACACACACGCAGTTAGTGACACACACACACACGCAGTTAGTAACACACACACATAGTAACACACACACACGCAGTTAGTAACACACACAGTAACACACACACACGCGGTTAGTAACACACACACACACACACACACAGTGACACACACACAGTAACACCCACACAGAGTAACACACACACGCAGTAACACACACGCAGTTAGCAACACACACAGTAACACACACACACACAGTAACACACACACACGCAGTTAGTAACACACACACACACACACACACACACACAGTAACACATGTATTTAGTAACACACACACAGTAACACACACACACACGCAGTTAGTAACACACACACACAGTAACACACACACACGCAGTTAGTAACACACACACACACACACACACTAACACCCACACAGAGTAACACACACACACATGCAGTTAGTAACACACACACACACACAGTAATACACACATAGTTGGTAACACACACACACACAGTAACACACACACGCAGTTAGTAACACACACACACACAGTAACACACACACACGCAGTTAGTAACACACACACACACAGTAACACACACACGCAGTTAGTAACACACACACACACAGTAACACACACACACTCAGTTAGTAACACACACGTATTTAGTAACACACACACAGTAACACACACACACATGCAGTTAGTAACACACACAGTAACACACACACACACAGTAACACACACGTAGTTAGTAACACACACACACATGCAGTTAGTAACACACACAGTAACACACACACACACAGTAACACACATGCAGTTAGTAACACACACAGTAACACACACACACACAGTAACACACACGTAGTTAGTAACACACACACACACACGCAATTAGTAGCACACACAGTAACACACACACACACGCAGTTAGTAACACACACACACACACAGTAACACACACGTAGTTAGTAACACACACACAGTAACACACACACACGCAGTTAGTAACACACACAGTAACACACACACACACACACAGTTAGTAACACACACGCAGTTAGTAACACACACAGTAACACACACACACGTAGTTACTAACACACACACACAGTAACACACACGCAGTTAGTAACAGACACAGTAACACACACACACAGTTAGTAACACACACACACACACAGTTAGTAACACACACACAGTAACACACACACACAGTTAGTAACACACACACACAGTTAGTAACACACACACACAGTTAGTAACACACAGACACACACAGTTAGTAACACACACACACAGTAACACACACACACACACACAGTTAGTAACACACACACACAGTTAGTAACACACACACACACACACAGTTAGTAACACACACACACACACAGTTAGTAACACACACACACAGTAACACACACACACACACACACAGTTAGTAACACACACACACACAGTTAGTAACACACACACACACACAGTTAGTAACACACACACACAGTAACACACACACACACACACAGTTAGTAACACACACACACAGTTAGTAACACACACACACACGCAGTTAGTAGCACACACAGTAACACATACACACAGTAACACACACGCAGTTAGTAACACACACACACAGTAACACACACACACACGCAGTTAGTAGCACACACAGTAACACACACACACAGTAACACACACGCAGTTAGTAACACACACACGCAGTTAGTAACACACACACACGTAGTTAGTAACACACACACACACGCAGTTAGTAACACACACAGTAACACACACACACACAGTAACACACATGCACACACACACACAGTAACACGCAGTTAGTAACACACACACACAGTAACACACACGTAGTTAGTAACACACACACACACACACAGTAACACACACACAAACACAGTAACACACACACACACACAGTAACACACACGTAGTTAGTAACACACACACACAGTAACACACGTAGTTAGTAACACACACAAACACACACACGTAGTTAGTAACACACACACAGTAACACACACACACAGTAACACACACACAGTAACACACACACACGTAGTTAGTAACACACACACACAGTAACACACACACATGCAGTTAGTAACACACACACACACACAGTAACACACACACACATAGTTAGTAACACACACACACACAGTAACACACACACATGCAGTTAGTAACACACACACAGTAACACACACACACGTAGTTAGTAACACACACACACACACAGTAACACACACACATGCAGTTAGTAACACACACACACAGTAACACACACACACGTAGTTAGTAACACACACACAGTAACACACACACATGCAGTTAGTAACACACACACACACACACACACACAGTAACACACACACACGTAGTTAGTAACACACACACACACAGTAACACACACACATGCAGTTAGTAACACACACACACAGTAACACACACACACGTAGTTAGTAACACACACACACAGTAACACACACACATGCAGTTAGTAACACACACACACAGTAACACACACACACGTAGTTAGTAACACACACACACAGTAACACACACACACGTAGTTAGTAACACACACAAACACACACACGTAGTTAGTAACACACACACAGTAACACACACACACAGTAACACACACACAGTAACACACACACACGTAGTTAGTAACACACACACACAGTAACACACACACATGCAGTTAGTAACACACACACACACACAGTAACACACACACACGTAGTTAGTAACACACACACACACAGTAACACACACACATGCAGTTAGTAACACACACACAGTAACACACACATAGTTGGTAACACACACACACACAGTAACACACACACACAGTAACACACACATGCATTTAGTAACACACACACAGTAAAACATACACACACACACACACCTTTGATGTAGTGCACTATGGAGACGATGTGCTGAGCGAACAGCTCTGACGGACTCCGGCGGAGCTGTGACGACTGAATGTGCTGGAAAATGGAGCGAAATTCCGGATCTTTCTTGGAAGAATGGGAATGATCCCGAGGAGCAGGACGATCCTTAGAGACAGAGGAGCTGAGACAACACACACTCGGAGGTTCAGAGAGCAGGACAACACTTGGACATGTCCTCAGATGGGTCAGGGTGTTTGTGTGTGTGTGTGTGTCCATGTGTGTGTGCGTGTGTGTGTGTGTGTGTGTGTACCTGGGCATCTCGTCTAAGGAGCTAATTTGCAGCTCAAACTCTTCCCTGGAAGCCAGCAGGTGGAAGGCAGGAGATTTCTCGCGAGGAGGAAACGCTCCGGGGAAGAGCGGTAGGTCCTTGTCTCTGGAGGTGAGGGGGGACACCGTCTTCATGGACTTTTCCTTGTCCTTCTTCTTCTTGGACTTCTCCTCTTTCTTGCTCGAGTGTTTGCGGCTCCTGTACAGCTCTTCCTCTACGTCATCTTCAGGCTCTTCTTCATCTCTGCGGGATTTATCTTTCACAGTGGGATACGACGTGGGGTAGCTCGGCTCATCGCCCCATTTCCCAAAAATGTCCCGCGCCGTGAGCGTGGGCTTGGCCTCCTCGTCGATCACCCTCTCCTTCAGGCCCTGGGACTTGAGGAACTCTTCCTCTCCCGGGTCGAAGAACGGGAGCGTCTTGTCCTCTTTGGTCTCAGCAGAGCTGCTGAAGAGCTCCGAGGACTTCTCGGGATCTGCAGCTACCTGCTGCTTTTCCTTCTCAGCCTTTTTGCTTTTGTTCTCAGCCAGAAACCTGAAACGGAGAGAAGAGAAGAGGAGGTTCAGGTCCGTTTCCACACAGAAGAGCCACTCCCACGCTGAACACCAAGCGTTCCCGTTCTGGGATCAGCTGACTCACTCCTAACCGCCACAGCTGAGCCTGAAGACGGTGAACGCTCCACTTGTCTAGCCAACATTGTGTCATTGTCCTTATCTGAATAAAGTTTGTTTAAAAAGGGGCGACACACCTGCAGCCACGGGCGAACCTGTGGTCTGAAGCCTCTGAAAACTTTCTCACATCCTTTTAAAGGAAAACTGTAGAATTCTGTCAAAGGGAAGGTCGGAACCAGGAAAACCAGCACCAGGAAGGCCGAAGGAGTGCTGTGAGGATGTTCGGCGTGGGAAAACAAGGAAGTAGACCTACTTTTTGAAGGCGGCAGGGATCCCAGAACCATCTCCGGCTTTCATGTCTTCCTTTGAGAAAAACCCAAATCCGCTGAAGGAGGCCGTCTGTTCGGACCTTGTGGGGCTCTTTGCTGCAGGGGGGGGTGAGCCAATGGTTTTCCACAGAGGACCCCCACTCCCTTTGCTCTCCGAGGCGGAAGCATCCTCCTTCAGTTCTGGGTTGGCCCGTTTGGGGCTGGTGTCATAGTCGATCCATTTGCCCCCGGAAGCCTTCTCGATGCTGCCGCCGTCTGCGGGCTGACCTTTCTCTGCAGGACTGGCCCTCAGCTTTTCTTTGGGGTCCTTAGAGCCAGGCCGAGCCCTGGAGCTGCCCTTTCGCGGGGTTGAGGACCGGGACCGCGAGGAATAGCTGGAGCGGCGGGAGCGGCGAGACCGCCCTGAAGACGAGCGATCGGAGTAGCGGGAGCGGCTCCTGCTAGCAGAGCGCTTCCTGGGTGTGCGGGAGCGAGAGTGCCCCCTCCTGGGACTGTGGTAGTCCTGGTCATGGTGGCGATCGTGCCAGCCCCCTCCTCCACCCTGCCAGTTGGACTTGTATCCGTAGTTGCCTCCTCCTCCTCCTCGGTTCTGGTAATGGCCACGGGGGTAGTAGCCCCGGCCCCGGCCCCGGTACGGGTAGGGTCTGCGGTAGCCCCGGTTGTAGCCCCTGAAGCCTCTTCTGTTGCTCTGATAGTCCCGAGACGGATAGTTTCTGTAGGACGGAGAGTGAGAGCGGGAGCGGGAACGAGACCTGGAGCTGAAACAACACACAGGAAACAGCTTTTAAAGTTAGAAACGGACCTGTGGGTCCGCTCAGAATCAGAACCACAGGTCATAGGCCACATGGCGCTTTAGGGGCTGGCAGAACTTTAAAGGGGTTCTAACAACAGGAAACACAACCTAAAAAACAAGAGTGCTGCCAGGATTAGTCGATACGTCACGATGACATCAACAAACAAAATGGTGGACTATAAATGTATGCGTTTTTTTAAATCTCGCCTTCGGCGGCTGCTTTCTGCCTTTCAGCTCGAGCCACATGCTACAACGATGTTCTGCTGAGCTGTGGTGGCCTCATGGAGGGGGCCATCGTCTAGCACACTGCTGCTAACCACTAAAACATTCTCCCTCTCCTGTTAATAACTTTTTGCTTTCCTTGACGGTGGATGTGCTACTACTAGTTTACCCGTTTAATTATAGATCCACTAGGATAAATACAATAAAGTTTATCTCTCACCAAATACAATATTTACTAAGAAATCACAATGTAACCATAGTGTGTGTGTGTGTGTGTGTGTGCGTGCGTGTGTGCTCTGTCTTCTCCATCCCCAGTGAGTCGTGGAGGATGGCTGCTTATACTGAGCCAGGATCCTCTGGAGGTTTCTTCCCGTTAAAAGGGAGTTTTCCTCTCCACTGTCGCTGCATGCTTGCTTAGTATGAGGATTGCTGTAAAGACTCTGACACTAGTCAGTGACTCGATGCGACCTGCTGGGCTCCTTATATAGGAAACTTTTTCTGATTGGCTTAATGAACTGACCTGTATTGGAATTCTTACTATGTGAAGTGCCTTGAGACGACTCTTGTCGTGATTTGGCGCTTTATTAATAAACTTGAATTGAATGCCCAGGAGAGGCCATCCAGAAGCCTTCGTACCAGCGTTACCGGAGAAAGAAAACACGGCGAGTCTGCAAAGCAGCTCAAAGGTTTGGGAGCACTTTACAGACAAAAGAGAAGCACGTAGAGTGCAAGCTCTCCTTTTACACGAGCACCTTCACAGGAAGCACGTCGTGGCGGAGAACGGAGTTGCCTCGGTATGCTAACCACCTCATTAGCTGCTAACATCTACAGTAGCTCCTAGTTACAGGTGCAGCAACACCAGTACTGGAGGTGGTTCTATTAGAACGCGCACGTACATCACGGTTTTGCTCTAATGTTACAAACGCTAATGCCGACCGTCAGCAAGGTAAAGAAAAACCTTCTCTGTGTTTAAAGAATAACCAAAAATGGAATTAGAAGACAAACACAGCAAGAACGTACAAAAGAAGCTAATGATTTATTTTATCCCGCTCCGTTACGCTCCTCCTCATCAGCGGACGAGTTTGTTACTCTGACTATTTTAGCTGTATATGTTTGTGTAAAATTCATGTTTGGTTTGGGAGCCTACCTCCTCCTGACCGCAGCGTTGGTATTTAGGGTTGTTGGTAAGGGTTTGGGAGCCTACCTCCTCCTGACTAGGGCTGTCGCGGTAACCGCAAAAATGAAATATCGCGATATGAAGAAGCCCACCGCGCTGCATGATGGGCCACCGCGATTACTGAACTTGGTTCAACTCAATGATGCATGTTGAGAAGGATGGCTGCACTGGTATCAAAACGAAACGTTACTTCGCTCCTTTGGGAGCGCTTTGGTTTTCAGTACGTCAGCTGCTGCGCAGCCAGAGTCCTTGGCCGAGACAGAGCTGCCACCAGCGGCAAAAATAAATAAATAAATGCTCGGAGACCTGCTTAAGTCCCGGACAAGCACTGCTTCTGCAGCCGTCCCGAAGAGAGTTTGAGCCGAGCTGGAGCTCACTCGCTACCTGCAGGAGGAATGCATCCACCCTAAAGAACCCCCCCTGACATGGTGGAGCAACAACCGGGAGAGATTCCCTTTGCTCGCCAGACTCGCACGCAGGTACGTGTGCGTTAGTGCAACGAGCGCTCCATCCGAGAGGGTTTTCAGTGTTGCTGAAAATGTTGCCACCCCTCTCAGATCCTCTCTCAAACCGTATATGGTTAACATGCTGGTTTTCCTTGTAGGTAACAAGGACGTGACCGAGCTATACATCACCGTCATTCGTGTGTGTGAAAGTGAAATGATAGTGCGCCCGACCCCCGGCGCACGCGTGCCCGGTACATGTAATTTTTTATGCTTAATTTTAAACAACTAAACAAAATGGGGACTTGTTTCTTATTTGTTAGATGCTGCAGCCAAATTTGCATTTAAAAGTTTAACCTTCTCCTGAATTTTGTTGTTTTTAAGTTCAGTCGGACTCCGACTGTCGGAGAAACAAACGTTACTGCGATCTGTGTTGTTACTGCCCTTTGATCTGCATTCAGTAGTGTTATAAAAGCAGGCACGGCAATTTTTAACCTTTTTTAAATGTGTAAACATTATGTTTAGATAGTACTGCAATAAAAAAAAGGACTGCAATAATATCGCACACCGTAATATTAAGCCACCCTGAATCACCGTAGGAGGAATTCCTCAACCGTGACAGCCCTACTCCTGACTGCAGCGTTGGTATTTAGGGTTGTTGGTAAGTTATCATCTTGTCTTTATCAGATGGCACACAGCTGATCACACTTCAGACTAGAAGCTGATGATGGTAAATTGGAGCATCCTGGTGCAACAAGCTAAACTTTTATGAATGACACGATGAGTCCACTACTAAAGTAGCCATTTAGGCAGCGCAAGTCACAAACTAGCTCTAACCACCAGTCGCCATTTTCCCAATGTTCACCATCATTCCCATAGATGACGGGGTGCTGCTGTCAATCAGACAGCTAGGATGCAGCGTGAACGCTATGGTTGCAGATGTTGCCATGGAAACAGGACTTGTAAGCTATCTGGACTCACCTGTAGTGACGTTTCCTGGATCTTGAACGCGAGTGGCTCCTAGACTGAGATCTAGAGAAGGATCTGGATCTGGGTCTGGACGGAGAGTCTGGAGCCTTGGACATGTTTGCACTCAGGGTGGTACAGGAGGATGCCGTCTTCAGAAACAGAGAAGGACAAGCGTGTTACGTTCTGCTCACACTTCACGCAGCCATGTTTCAGACAGGAAACGGCGGTCAGGATCATCTCAGGAGCAAACATGGCTCCAACCTTCTCATCTGTTGACTGGATTAAAGTCCGAAAGTCAGGAGGGTTACGGGTGTCAGTCATTAACATCTGGACACACACACACACACATTTTCTAATGAAGTCAAACTGGAGTTCTTTCATGTCTGCCCAGGGATGGTTGCTATGTGCTAATGCTAACAGGTAAACAGACGTTTCACCATTAGCTGGACCTTCCAAACCAATCGAACTGGAGTTACATGGCATTATCCTGTTACACAATAACACCCGTACAATACTTAGTATGGGTTCAATACCTGAGCAGTACCAGACTTCCACAGTGTGTCTGTGTCCCTTACAGTATGCTTCATAGTTCTGGAACCCAAGTTCTCATTTGTGTTCATGTTTTTAGCCATCAAAGGTTACGACGGTAGCTTACTGCCTGTGTGTACACGTGCACCTGGTCCGCGGTAACCAGTGGATCTGCCCACTGTGGATCAATAAAGTCTGTTCTAGTCTAAATAAGAGGCAAAATGCAAATAAAGCAGCAGACACAGATCAGAGGTTATTTACATAAAGACCAGCCAACAGGAGAAACCAGGAAACGACGGGTCACGTGGTTCTAAAGAACCGGACTAGTGAACAACCAACTCCACTGCCATGGTAACAAACAGGAACCGGAAACTGGCATCAATAACTTCATCTCCTTCCATGTTGTCAGGGTCAGATGTGCAGAGTGAACTAACTCTTGCACGGCCAGGAGAACATCCCTGGAGCTCCATCAGCTCTGGGCTGGTTCCGAAACCAGTACCAGTGTCAACCTGAACTAGGCTGCTCTGTTCCTCCAGCCAATCCAAACCCGTTCTGTCTGTTCGGAGGAGTGCTTATGACCTTTGACCCCTCTCATAGGTGCGCTTCACCATGTCTACCTGCTGGCTTTGATAATCTAAAAAAAAAACGTTTCTGACATTAGTGATGTGTGATTTAGGAGCCGACACCCCCCACATGTCGGTTCCGTTCCCGGGCAGCAAACCAAACAACCTGATCAGTACTACCGAACCAGACGCCCGAACACACAACACTACAGCTGCTAAGCCCAGTCACCTGTTCTGGTTTTCGCTTAGCTGGACCGGTTCCGTTGATCTAGAGAAACGCTGGAAGCAGCAGAAGCTTCGAGGCCGAGCCGCCTGCGCGTCCGTCGCCGTCTTCCGGTTTCCTCCACCCTGAACCTGCGGAGGTTAGCAGCCTAGCTTGTTAGCAGCAACCCCGAAAACAAGCAGGCGGGAAACGGAAAGCTAGGTGTTCGGTTCTGGTCCATAAAAATGTACCTGGATGCGTCTAGCCACAACCTCACGAGCCCGCCACCGGAAGAAAACGTTGCTTTTGGGTCTTAACTGCGTTTAAACGTCAGTAGCGACGGAGAACGAACGGGCACTAACGAATAGTTCGGTCAAGTCACGCGAGACTAGTGAGCACCGCGAGAACACAAAGAAAGTGGGTCAAAGTGACGAAGCCAGTCCGGGTTTCACTAACTACTAACCAGATATTTCTGCAGCTAGTTACTGCCCGAGTTTTTAAGTTAGGTTCGTTTAAATAATGTTTAATTAAATATGTTTACTAAAAGTTTATGTATAGAACATTTATTTACATAAAGGTTGATTTAATATGAAAAAACATTCATGTGAAGTTGATCTGTTGGCCACACCTGACCCACTGTGCAGCACCTTTCCTGCATGTCCAGGATGATGGGGGTGCGGTTTGCCACCTCTCTGATCTTTGCTTTGGGAGAGCTCCAAGATGGAGGTCCAGAAAACATGCCTCCTCCCTCCACGCGCTCAGCACCTGTTAACAGAAGCAGGAGGTCTCTGCCCTCGCAGGTCAAGGACACCGGCCTCCATGAATGTGAGGGTGTTGAGCTGAGATCCACCTCTGCAGACCGGACTGCCTAAGCTGATCTGTGTGTGTGGAGTCCTCGTTTTAGGGGTCAGAGCCCCTCAGAGGGGCTTCTCTAAGACTATAAGACTTCTCTTAAAGCGCGAATTATCTGGTAAATATCGGCGCGATCTTCTAGCTTCTTGTCCTTTGTTTGGTGACCTGAGCTGAGCGCCACTTCCACATTCCCGCCAGGGCGCGTTGGGACGCGGTTCATCCGTCCAAGTTTTTAAGGTCGGTTTCTCCTCATTCCTCAGTGGTTTCTCCTCCTGTTCCCTCCATAAGTGGTTTTTATAAACACCGTGGATCTAACCCTGCTAATTTACGTCCACTAACTCCAGCTGTTTCTGTAGTTTCTGATTCCTCCACCTCACTCAGCATGGCTCTATTAAACACCTGCTCTGTTAACAATAAGTCCTTCCTGCTCAATGATCTAATTCTCTCTAAAAACCTGGATTTTCTGTTTCTGACTGAAGTTTGGCAGCAAACATCTGATTATTCTGGTCTGATTGAACTCTGCCTGAGTGGTTATTCTTTTCTTAGCCAGCCCCGGGGTTCTGGTCGTGGTGGAGGCCTAGCTGTTGTTTTCAGAGACCATCTTCCATGTAGCTCTACAACCTCTGGTCACTTTGCTTCCTTTGAACTGCAGCTGATTAAAGTCTAGCGTAAGGACCCGTTCTACTGTGCTGTGGTCTATCGTCCACCTGGTCCAAACAGTTCTTTCCTTTAGTTTAGTGACTTTCTATCCTCCACTGTGATGCTGTCCAGACTGGTGATTGTTGGTGACTTTAACATCCACGTTGATGATCCCTCCCATCACTTTGCCATGAATTTCTCCAGCCTTATGGACTCCTTTGGCTTTACCCAGCATGTTTCTGGCCCCACACACACCAGGGGGCACTCTCTAGACCTTGTTTTTACCCTGAGTCTAAATGCTGACAGTGTTTGTCCTGAGGACGTTTATATTTCAGATCACCATTGCATTTTCTTTAACTTGTCAGTTTCTGCGTCCCCACCTCCTGCTCGCCGTATGGTTAGTTCTCGTTTTCTTAATGAGAGCACAGCTAGCAATTTTTCTGCTGCTTTTGATCCACCCTGTTCTTCTGATAACGACCCAGATTCCTTAACTTCTCAGTTCAACGAGCACTGCCTCTCCATTCTGGACAACATCTGTCCTGTCAGAACCAGATCAGGTCCTGCAGTGAACCCTACTCCCTGGTTTAATGACAGCCTTCGCAGCCTGAAGCGCCAATGCAGAAAAATTGAGCGTTTGTGGAAGAAAACCCATCTCCACGTCCATCTGCTGCACCTAAAGGATCTTCTGACATCCTTTAACTCTGCAGTCAGAGACGTGAGGGTTTCCTATTTCTCCAACCTGGTGTCCCAGAGCAAAGGGAACCCCAAGGTGCTGTTTAACACCATCAGCAGCATCGTGTCTCCTGCCTCTCCTACAGCCTCCATCCACTCTGTTACAGACTGTGAGAACTTTCTGTCTTTCTTTGTGGACAAAGTCAATAAGGTTAGATCTAGCATCTCTCCTTCAGCCTTATCGCCGCCTCTCCCGACTCCAACCAGGCCCATCATCCTAGATAGCTTTGCTCCTGCTTCTTTGCCTGAGTTAACCAAACTAGTTAACTCTATGAACACCTCTGCATGCCCCCTCCACATCTTACCCTCATCTTTGTTTAAAAGTGCTTTTCAGCCCATCGGTCCCAGCGTGCTCTCTATAATTAATGCTTCTCTGGTCTCTGGTCAGGTCCCTGCTTACTTTAAGAACGCTGTAATCCACCCGCTTCTTAAAAAACCGAGTCTGGACCCCTCTCTCCATAGCAGCTTCAGACCCATCTCTAAACTTCCGTTCATCTCCAAGATCTTGGAAAAGGTTGTGGCTAAACAACTCACAGCTGCTCTTGATGAACAGAACATCTATTCAGTCCTAAAAGTTGCTGCTCGACAAACACTCTGATAATCACTAACCTGGTGAAGGTGAGTCCTGCAGCCAGATGACCACATCGAGACACACACACACACACACACACACACACACACACACACACACACACACACACACACACACACACGAGTTTGTCATAAAGCTTTATTAGATCTCTGAGGCAGCCACTGTTAAATAAGTCAACACTTTAAGACAAAAACAGCAAACACGACTACGAACATCAGAACAACAGGAAGTAGGATAACACGTGGCGCTGATCCGGGGTTAGTCTCCCGGAGCGCCGGCGGAACACGGATGCACCAAAACAAGCAGAAGGTTGAATGTTCCAGCTCCTCCTCCACCCGACGTTTGGCACGCTGCTGCGGAGCCCACAGAGGATTGTGGGACGGGAAGAGATCTGGAGCGATGAGGCCCATCTCCATGGCAACTCACAGGACCTCTGCATACAGAGAGGAGAAAAACTAACAAACAACAGAAAAGTCCTCCACCATGGTGATGGCTTCAGGGAGCTGGACTAGGCTGTATACATAAACAAGATGGTGGCAGCCCATTACCTTCCTCTTCCCAGGTATGTTTTGTTTGTGTACCTGCGATGTGCTGAGGCTTCATGGCACCTGTCTTCATCAGGAAAGGCTCCGCCCCCTCGAAGGCTTGCAGCCCGCCCTGCAGCTGGCTGTCCATCATCTCCTCCAGGCTGCCATTGGCTGACACCCCGTTCTGGTGCGCAGCAGGCTGGATGCCGTTGACGAGCATGGGACCGGTCTGTGGGGGTTGGGGGGGCGCTGCAGCAGGGCCTGGAAGGCTCACTGGACCTGGAGGACATCAGGAGACATGTTGTCACCCACCAGGAGACATTCCATCTACTGTTTGTCCTGATCCAGGTATCATGTCAGAGATGGTTTCTGTCATCCATTGGTTCAGCCTGCTGCTGGGGTTCAGCTTGTCTCGTGTCCTGCAGGGACACTTTCTGTCTCTTTAAGGTCATTAGACCGTTTTATGGACTGCAGACTCTTCAGGGTTACCAACTTATTTATAAAGCACAGTTTAAAAATAGCATAGCAGCTAACCAAAGTGCTGTAGAAAAAGAGCCAGAGGCTCGGAGACGTCAGCAGAAACGTAGCAGAAACCTGCAGAAGTAGCTAAAATGCATCAATGAGCAAATATAGAAATGCATCCCAAAATAACCGACTAAGACAACGAGTAGAAGGCCTGTCCAAAGTGATTAATGAAGGACGTGAAAACAACCAGTTAGAAAGACACAAATGCGACAAGGTGTGACTAAGTGAGCTACTAAGTCATAACAACTAAATGAAGAAAAGGAAAACCGGTGCTAAGACGGACAGAAAAAAGGGACGTGGCCTCCAAGAGTCCTGCAGTTTTTGTGGATAGTGTCACGGAGGGAAGGCAACGTTGAACCTCGGATGGAGCCGAACGCACATGGAGGGGCAGAGAGATCCGGAGGTTTGGGCCGCATGAGAGAAGGCAGCTCCCCTCCTGATTTGTAGCGAACCTTCGGAACACCCAGCAGCAGATGGGCCGATTGACGGGGACGCGTGGGCACGTATGCAGAGGTCTGCAGACAGGATGGGTTGTGAGAAGTGAGACATGCATGCGCCTGTCGGTGTTAGCTAAGGTGCTGATGACCGGCAAATGGATCGACTAGGACACCAGCCCCAAACGGGCCAACCCAGATGTTAGCTAAGGTGGACGCATCAATCCCAATCACGACGGGATTTAGAGTCAATGAATGGGTGAATGACAGACGGGTGATGTGGTGGAGTTGGAAAAAGCAGGACCTGACAGTGGCATTGACATCATCATTGAGAGGTTGGAGTCAGTTTCACAGCCAGGGGGGAGGGGAGAGCGAGTGGGTGGGGATAAAAATATGGCTTCTTTTGCTGTCATTTGACCACAGGCAGTAAGAGAGCCAGGTTTTGACCTCTGAGGCTTTCTCATGACACAGAAGTTGAGTGCTGTTGACTGAGTTGACGGTAAATCTGGCAATCATCTGTGTAGAAGTGGTGGTTGACCTGTGACTTGCATGAAACTTTCTGAGAGGACGCATGTAGACTGAAAAAGGGAGAGGACCGAGGATAGAGCCCTGAGTCACTCCCCATGGAAGTGGGGCATTGGGTGAAGAGCAGTCTTCAGTATGGACACTAAAACACCGATCAGTGAGGTCAGACTTAAACCAGGTACCGGTCACACCCACACAGCGTCGAAAGCTGCGGTCAGATCAAGTAACAGTAGTGACACATGGGAGCCAGAGTCCGTTAGAATCCAGATATCACTGAGAACCCCAGCGTGTGCCTAGAGGAGGGGTTGATGGTGACCAGGTTTTAGTAGAAACTGCAGAAACCAGCTACAGAAGGCCTCCTTGTGGAGCTGAAATCAGATGTTACCCTGACTGAGCTCAGAGCCGTTGACCTGCAGGGACGCTCGGACGTCTTTCTGCACACCAAAGAACAAACACACTTGTGTTAGTGCTCAGAAACGAGGAGGCCTGCTGTCTTCAGGATTCTTCTCATGCTTCAGACACACCTTTTCTCCTGCATCACTCTTCCGAGTCCTCTTCATGATCTCCTCCAGGCGCTGTGCACAGATCAGTTAGACCCATTAGCTGCTGACGCTGAGAACTTCACCTACTGACTTTGTGACCTCAGACTGTCCTCACCTTCTTCCTCTCCAATCGTTCCTGCTCCTCCTTCTGGAAGTGTTTCTCCCTCTCTGTGCGCTGATGCTCCGCCTCCTCTCGGGCTCTGGAGTCAGCCTCCTCCTTCTAAGAACAAAACCATCCATCTAAAATCAGAACCTGTTTCCAGAGAACCTCTGAGGACCTGCAGATGCTCTTCCTACAGATAAAAACCTGGTGACACGTTAAGAGGCAGAGATGCTCAACACCAGCAGGGGGCAGCGTTGCTACATCACTGCTCTGTGTGTGTGTGTGTGTGTGTGTGTGTGTGTGTGTGTGTGTGTGTGTGTGTGTCAGTGTCCAGTTACTGTTACCTAGAGATGTTTCCCTCTTTCCTATTCACTCCCTCTCTTTCTTAACATTTTTTCTTTTAAATCCCAATTGCCTATTTTTGCTCATTTTAAATATATTTTTAAACATTTTCTAAAAGCTTTTTTATATTTTAACTTTTTGTGTTTTTGTTTTTGTGAAGCGCCTCGTGATTTTTATCTTGAGAGGTGCTATAGAAATTATATTTTCTTCTTCTTCTTCCTGGCTGACGGTTCGATTCCCAGCCGGGTCCCGGTGGCTCTACTGTGATTCTACCCATCAGGGTTCCAAAGTGATGCCGGATCAGCCAGGAACGAACAACAGCTGACAGACCCAAATAGTCCAGATAAACCTGTCCAGTTCCAGACCCACCTGCTTCTGAAGCCTCTGGCTCTGCTCCTGCTCCTCCATCACTTTCTGCTGCACCTCCTCCTGCTCTTTAGCCTGCTGAGCTTTGTCTCTCAGGGGCTGCTGCACCTTCATGAAGCGAGCCTCTTCTTCTCTGCGCTTCCTCTCCTCCGCCTCCTGCACCATCGTCTCCTCCCGCAGAACCCTGAAAGGAGACACGAGAGTCGTCACAGGCTCTCACCTGATGAAGTCAGCCTGACCTGATGGAGTCAGTCTGACCTAATAGAGTCAGTCTCACCTGATGGAGTCAATCTGACTAGATGGAGTCAGTCTTACCTGATGGAGTCAGTCTGACCTGATGGAGTCAGTCTGACCTAATAGAGTCAATCTCGCCTGATGGAGTCAATCTGACTAGTTGGAGTCAGTCTTACCTGATGGAGTCAGTCTGACCTAATAGAGTCAATCTCGCCTGATGGAGTCAATCTGACTAGTTGGAGTCAGTCTTACCTGATGGAGTCAGTCTGACCTGATGGAGTCAGTCTGACCTAATAGAGTCAATCTCGCCTGATGGAGTCAATCTGACTAGTTGGAGTCAGTCTTACCTGATGGAGTCAGTCTGACCTGATGGAGTCAGTCTGACCTAATAGAGTCAATCTCGCCTGATGGAGTCAATCTGACTAGTTGGAGTCAGTCTTACCTGATGGAGTCAATCTGACTAGTTGGAGTCAGTCTTACCTGATGGAGTCAGTCTGACCTGATGGAGTCACTCTGACCTAATAGATTCAATCTCTCATGATGGAGTCAGTCTGACCTGATGGGAATCAGTCTGACCTGATGGAGTCAGTCTGACCTGATAGTCAATCTCGCCTGATAGAGTCAATCTGGCTAGTTGGAGTCAGTCTTACCTGATGGAGCCAGTCTGACCTAATAAGAGTCAATCCAGCCTGATGGAGTCAATCTGACCTGATAGAGTCAATCTCTCCTGATGGAGTCAGTCTGACCTGATAGAGTCAATCTGACCTGATGGACTCAGTCTGACCTGATGGAGTCAGTCTGACCTGATGTAGTCAGTCTGACCTACAGGTGCTGGCCAGTAAATTAGAATATCATCAAAAGGTTGAAAATATTTCAGTAATTCCATTCAAAACATGAAACTTGTACATTATATTCATGCAATGCACACAGACCAATGTATTTCCGATGTTTATTACGTTTAATTTTGATATTTATAGGTGACAACCAATGAAAACATCAAATCTGGTATCTCAGAAAATTAGAATATTCTAAAGGCCAATGAAAAAATGTTTGTTTCTCTAATGTTGGCCAACTGAAAAGAATGAACATGAAAAGAATGTGCATGTATAGCACTCAATACTTAGTCGGGGCTCCTTTTGCCTCAATAACTGCAGTAATGCGGCGTGGCATGGACTCGATCAGTCTGTGGCACTGCTCAGGTGTTATGAGAGCCCAGGTTGCTCTGATAGTCGTCTTCAGCTCCTCTGCATTGTTGGGTCTAGCGTATTGCATCCTCCGCTTCACAATACCCCATAGATTTTCTATGGGGTTAAGGTCAGGCGAGTTTGCTGGCCAATCAAGGACAGGGATACCATGGTCCTTGAACCAGGTGCTGGTGGTTTTGGCACTGTGTGCAGGTGCCAAGTCCTGTTGAAAGGTGAAGTCTGCATCCCCATAAAGTTGGTCAGCAGCAGGAAGCATGAAGTGCTCTAAAACTTCCTGGTAGACGGCTGCATTGACCCTGGACCTCAGGAAACAGAGTGGGCCAACACCGGCAGATGACATGGCACCCCACACCATCACTGACGGTGGAAACTTTACACTGGACCTCATGCAACGTGGATTCTGTGCTTCTCCGCTCTTCCTCCAGACTCTGGGTCCTTGATTTCCAAAGGAAATGCAGAACTTGCTTTCATCAGAAAACATAACTTTGGACCACTCAGCATCAGTCCAGTCCTTTTTGTCCTTGGCCCAGGCGAGACGCTTCTTGCGCTGTTTCTTGTTCAAGAGTGGCTTGACACACGGAATGCGACACCTGAATCCCATGTCTTTCATGAGTCTCCTCGTGGTGGTTCTTGAAGCGCTGACTCCAGCTGCAGTCCACTCTTTGTGGATCTCCCCCACATTTTTGAATGGGTTTGTCGTCACAATTCTCTGCAGGGTGCGGTTATCCCTAGAGCTTGTACACTTTTTTCTACCACATTTTTCCCGTCCCTTCGCCTGTCTGTTAATGTGCTTGGACACAGAGCTCTGCGAACAGCCAGCTTCTTTAGCAATCACCTTTTGTGTCTTGCCCTCCTTGTGCAAGGTGTCAATGATTGTCTTTTGGACAGCTGTTAAGTCAGAAGTCTTCCCCATGATTGTGGTGCCTTCAAAACAAGACTGAGGGACCTTTTAAAGGCCTTTGCAGGTGTTTTGAGTAAATCAGCTGATTAGAGTGGCAGCAGGTGTCTTCTATATTCAGCCTTTTCAGAATATTCTAATTTTTTGAGATACCAAATTTGGAGTTTTCATTAGTTGTCACTTATGAATATCAAATTTAAATGTAATGAACATTGGAAATACATTGGTCTGTGTGCATTGCATGAATATAATGTACAAGTTTCACGTTTTGAATGGAATTACTGAAATATTTTCAACCTTTTGATGATATTCTAATTTACTGGCCAGCACCTGTAATAGAGTCAATCTCGCCTGATGGAGTCAATCTGACTAGTTGGAGTCAGTCTTACCTGATGGAGTCAGTCTGACCTGATGGAGTCAGTCTGACCTAATAGAGTCAATCTCGCCTGATGGAGTCAATCTGACTAGTTGGAGTCAGTCTCACCTGATGGAGTCAATCTGACTAGATGGAGTCAGTCTTACCTGATGGAGTCAGTCTGACCTAATAGAGTCGATCTCGCCTGATGGAGTCAATCTGACTAGTTGGAGTCAGTCTTACCTGATGGAGTCAGTCTGACCTGATGGAGTCAGTCTGACCTGATGGAGTCAGTCTGACCTAATAGAGTCAATCTCGCCTGATGGAGTCAATCTGACTAGTTGGAGTCAGTCTTACCTGATGGAGTCAGTCTGACCTGATGGAGTCAGTCTGACCTAATAGAGTCAATCTCGCCTGATGGAGTCAATCTGACTAGTTGGAGTCAGTCTTACCTGATGGAGTCAATCTGACTAGTTGGAGTCAGTCTGACCTGATGGAGTCACTCTGACCTAATAGATTCAATCTCTCATGATGGAGTCAGTCTGACCTGATGGGAATCAGTCTGACCTGATGGAGTCAGTCTGACCTGATAGTCAATCTCGCCTGATAGAGTCAATCTGGCTAGTTGGAGTCAGTCTTACCTGATGGAGCCAGTCTGACCTAATAAGAGTCAATCCAGCCTGATGGAGTCAATCTGACCTGATAGAGTCAATCTCTCCTGATGGAGTCAGTCTGACCTGATAGAGTCAATCTGACCTGATGGACTCAGTCTGACCTGATGGAGTCAGTCTGACCTGATGTAGTCAGTCTGACCTAATAGAGTCAATCTCGCCTGATGGAGTCAATCTGACTAGTTGGAGTCAGTCTTACCTGATGGAGTCAGTCTGACCTAATAGATTCAATCTCTCATGATGGAGTCAGTCTGACCTGATGGGAATCAGTCTGACCTGATGGAGTCAGTCTGACCTGATAGAGTCAATCTCGCCTGATGGAGTCAATCTGGCTAGTTGGAGTCAGTCTTACCTGATGGAGCCAGTCTGACCTAATAAGAGTCAATCCAGCCTGATGGAGTCAATCTGACCTGATAGAGTCAATCTCTCCTGATGGAGTCAGTCTGACCTGATAGAGTCAATCTGACCTGATGGAGTCAGTCTGACCTAATAAGAGTCAATCTCACTGGATGGAGTCAATCTGACTAGTTGGAGTCAGTCTGACCTAATAGAGTCAATCTCTCCTGATGGAGTCAGTCTGACCTGATGGAGTCAGTCTGACCTAATAGAGTCAATCTCTCCTGATGGAGTCAGTCTGACCTGATGGGAATCAGTATGACCTGATGGAGTCAGTCTGACCTGATGGGAGTCAGACTCACCTGATGGAGTCAGTCTGACCTGATGGGAGTCAGACTCACCTGATGGAGTCAGTCTGACCTAATAAGAGTAAATCTCGCCTGATGGAGTCAATCTGACTAATTGGAGTCAGTCTTACCTGATGGAGTCAGTCTGACCTGATGGAGTCAGTCTGACCTAATAGAGTCAATCTCGCCTGATGGAGTCAATCTGACTAGTTAGAGTCAGTCTGACCTGATGGAGTCAGTCTGACCTAATAGAGTCAATATCTACTGATGGAGTCAGTCTGACCTGATGGGAATCAGTCTGACCTGATGGAGTCAGTCTGACCTGATAGAGTCAGTCTGACCTGATAATCAATCTGACCTGATGGAGTCAGTCTGACCTAATAGAGTCAATCTCGCCTGATGGAGTCAATCTGGCTAGTTGGAGTCAGTCTTACCTGATGGAGTCAATCTGACCTAATAAGAGTCAATCTCGCCTGATGGAGTCAATCTGACCTGATAGAGTCAATCTCTACTGATGGAGTCAATCTGACCTGATAGAGTCAATATAACCTGATGGAGTCAGTCTGACCTAATAAGAATCAGTCTCGCCTGATGGAGTCAATCTGACTAGTTGGAGTCAGTCTCGCCTGATGGAATCAGTCTGACCTAATAGAGTCAATCTCTCCTGATGGAGTCAGTCAGACCTGATAGTCAATCTGACCTGATGGAGTCAGTCTGACCTAATAGACTCAATCTCGCCTGATGCAGTCAATCTGACTAGTTGGAGTCAGTCTTACCTGATGGAGTCAGTCTGACCTGATGGAGTCAGTCTGACCTAATAGAGTCACTCTGACCTGATGGAGTCAGTCTGACCTGATGGGAGTCAGACTCACCTGATGGGAGTCAGACTCACGTGATGGAGTCAGTCTGACCTGATGGAGTCAGTCTGACCTAATAAGAGTCAATCTCACCTGATGGAGTCAATCTGACTAGCTGGAGTCAGTCTTACCTGATGGAGTCAGTCTGACCTGATGGAGTCAGTCTGACTTAATGGAGTCAGACTCACCTGATGGAGTCAGTCTGACCTAAGAGAGTCAGTCTGACCTGATGGGAGTCAGTCTGACCTAATAGTCAATCTGACCTGATGGAGTCAGTCTGACCTGATGGGAGTCAGACTCACCTGATGGAGTCAGTTTGACCTGATGGGAATCAGTCTGACCTAATAGAGTCAGTCTGACCTGATGGAGTCAGTCTGACCTAATAGGAGTCAATCTGACCTAATAGTCAATCTGACCTGATGGGAATCCGTCTGACCTAATAGAGTCAATCTGACCTGATGGAGTCAGTCTGACCTAATAGAGTCAATCTGACCTGATGGAGTCAGTCTGACCTGATGGGAGTCAGACTCACCTGATGGAGTCAGACTCACCTGATGGAGTCAATCTGACCTGATGGGAGTCAGACTCACCTGATGGAGTCAGTCTGACCTAATAGAATCAATCTGACCTGATGGAGTCAGTCCGACCTGATGGGAGTCAGACTCACCTGATGGAGTCAGTCTGACCTGATGGAGTCAATCTGACCTGATGGGAGTCAGACTCACCTGATGGAGTCAGTCTGACCTAATAGAATCAATCTGACCTGATGGAGTCAGTCCGACCTGATGGGAGTCAGACTCACCTGATGGAGTCAGTCTGACCTGATGGGAGTCAGTCTGACCTAATAAGAGTCAATCTGACCTAATAGAGTCAATCTGACCAGATGGAGTCAGTCTGACCTAATAGAGTCAATCTGACCTGATGGAGTCAGTCTGACCTGATGGGAGTCAGACTCACCTGATGGAGTCAATCTGACCTGATGGGAGTCAGACTCACCTGATGGAGTCAGTTTGACCTGATGGGAGTCAGAATAACCTGATGGAGTCAGTCTGACCTGATGGGAGTCAGTCTGACCTGATGGGAGTCAGACTCACCTGATGGAGTCAGACTCACCTGATGGAGTCAATCTGACCTGATGGGAGTCAGACTCACCTGATGGAGTCAGTTTGACCTGATGGGAGTCAGACTCACCTGATGGAGTCAGACTCACCTGATGGAGTCAATCTGACCTGATGGGAGTCAGACTCACCTGATGGAGTCAGTCTGACCTAATAGAGTCAATCTGACCTGATGGAGTCAGTCTGACCTGATGGGATTCAGTCTGACCTGATGGAGTCAGTCTGACCTGATGGGAGTCAGACTGACCTGATGAGAGTCAGACTGAACTGATGGAGTCAATTTGACCTGATGGGAATCAGTCTGACCTGATGGAGTCAGTCTGACCTAATAGAGTCAATCTGACCTGATGGAGTCAGTTTGACTTGATGGGAGTCAGACTCACCTGATGGAGTCAGTTTCACCTGATGGAGTCAGTCTGACCTGTTGGAGTCAATCTGACCTGATGGGAGTTAGTCTGACCTGATGGAGTCAGACTCATCTGATGCGAGTCAGACTCACCTGATGTGCTGCTCCTGATCCAGATGCTCCCGCTCCTCTCTTTCCCGCTGCTCTCTGGCTTGTCTCCGTTTTTCAGCCAGGATACGAGCTGCCTCCTCCGGGTCATTGGTGCCAGCTGATGTTTTGCTAGTCGGAGGGGGGCGGGGACTCGGGGGCGGCGGTGGACTCACTCTAGATGGAGCTGGAGCCGAAACTATTGGTGGGCTGAAAGCTGGGGGCTTGAGTGGAGATGAAGTGACTACGATGGCAGGAACATTACCACAGGCTGAAACAGGAAACAGGAAATGATCTCAAAAACATCCCCCTCTGATTCAGTCTGACTCCCTCTGACTCTTTGAAGCTCACCTGTCACCTTGGTAACATCACTCACCCTTTTTCTCCTCTGAGGCATGGACTCTTCCAGGCTCAGGTCTGGTTCCCATGGCGACCGTGGACACTGTCTGGGGCTGCACTCTGACGGGGGTCTGGGCCCTTCTGGGTCGGGTCTTGGTGCCGGCAGAAGGAGGAGGTGTCTTAGAGGTGGTTGCTGCGACCAGGGGGGACAGGGGATGACTTTTGGGTGCAGCAGGAGAAGGAGGTCTGTTCCTGGGCCTCGGAGCACTGAGGAGTCAATATGGGGGAGAGGTGAGAGAGGCAGGGAGTTAGGGGGAGGAGTCAGGGCCAAAAAGAAGAGTCGGGTAAAAGGAGAAACACAAGGAGAAGTCATAGCAAAGAAGTAGATTCTGAGAGCAAAAGGCATCATCTCCTCTAGAAGGTTGAGTTCTGATCCAGAGCTGCCAACCAGGAGGTCCAAACTTATCAAAACCATCCAAAACTTATCCCTCCTTACCAGTCCTGGACCAGGGGGACAGGGTTTATACCAGTTCCTCTGCCAGCTGGACTCTGGTTACCATGGAGACTGTCAACATCTGCCTCATCACACTATGGTCCTGGAAGTGACTCCCCTCAGTTTTCAGTGGATCACTTTGACCCTATTTCTTTTTCTTTGCTCTCTGATCTGGTGGTAGGGCTGAAGCCATATGGTTCTCCGACTGACGTGATGCCTCCGCATCTTCTTAAAGAGGTTTTTCCTGTGGTTGGCCACTTTATTTTAAATATTGTGAATGGGAGTTTAACCTCTGGAGTTGTCCCCCAGGCTTTCAAACAGGCAGTGGTCCAACCAGTTTGAAGAAAGCTGGTTTGGACTCTACCTCCCTGGAAAACTTCCGCCCCATCTCGAAGCTTCCATTTTTATCTAAGCTTCTCGAGAAAGTTGTTTTTCACAACTCTGACCATTTGCAGACTTTTAACATTTTAGACCCTTTGCAATCAGGGTCCCGTCCCGTTCATAGTATTGAGACTGCCCTTCTTAGTTTTCAATGACGTTCTAAGGTCCACTGATTCCGGCTCCCATGTTCTGCTGATGTTGCTGGATCTCACAGCTACTTTTGACACCGTAGACCATGCTATACTCCTGTCACAACTGAACCAGGTAGTGGACATCCAGGGAACTACCCTGAATTGATCCAGATCGTACCTCAGCAACAGAAGTTTTAGGGTGAGGATGTTTTTGTTTTTTTTTTGCCTCTGAAGCCTCCTTACTGCACTGTGGTGTTCCCCAAGGCTCTATTTTAGGACCTCTGCTTTTTAATCTTTACATTCTTCCTCTGGGAGCTATTTTTGGGCGACATGGCATGTCTTATCATTTGTATGCTGATGACCGCCAATTTTATGTTTCATTAAAACCTCAAGAGTCAGTGCAACCGGCTGTGGATTGCCTGAATGAGGTGAAGGGCTGGCTTTATAATAACGTTTTATATCTGAACTCGTTTGAAACAGATCGGCCTCTCTGGTGCTGTTCACCAATGGTTCACATCCTACATCACAGACAGGACTTTTATGGTGAGTTTGGATACCTGTTCCTCTAGGGTTCATGGGATTACATGTGGTGTGCCCCAGGGTTCAATTTTAGGCCCAGTGCTTTTTAACCTTTATATGCTCCTTCTTGGCAGTGTCATCAGGAGACGCGGGGTGAATTTCCAGAGTTACGCTGATGATACACAGTTGTACATCTCTGTGTCTCCTGATGACACACGGCCAATGGACACACTTTTTAATTGCATTTTTGACATCAAAACCTGGATGGCAGAGAACTTTCTCCAGCTAAACCAGGACAAAACTGAAGTTTTAGTTATCGGTCCTGAGGCCCAGAGAGAGAATCTTTTACCAAAATTACAATCTCTGTCTCTTAATCCATCTTCACAAGTGAAGAACCTAGGTGTCATCTTTGACTCTGAGCTGAGTTTTATCAATCATATTAATAATATCACCAAAATAGTTTTTTATCATCTAAAGAACATCGCCAGAGTCCGCCCCATTCTCTCTCAGGCCAATACGGAAATGCTGATGAACGCTTTTATCACCAGTAGTATAGACTACTGCAATGTCCTGCTTCCTGCTCTTCCTAAAAAGAGGATTTCAGGTTTACAACTCCTACAAAACTCAGCAGCACGTGTCCTGATGAAGACCAGGAGGCGGGAGCACATTACTCCAGTTTTAGATTCACTGCATTGTCTCCCCGTGTGTTTCAGGATCGATTTCAAAATACTTTTAACAGTGTTTAAGTGTCTTAATGGTCTTGGGCCTTCTTATCTTTCAGAACTGCTTTTACCGTATGAACCCACGCGGTCTCTGCTCTCCTCTGGCGGCCGTCTCCTTGTCATCCCTAAAGTCAGGACTCATATTCACAGCGAGGCGTCCTTCCAGTACTACGGTCCTCGCCTCTGGAACGAGCTGCCAGGAGACCTCAGGGCTGCTGAGAACGTTCATGCTTTTAGAAACAGGCTCAAGACCCATCTTTTTAGCTTAGCTTTTAACTGAATACTATCACTTTTTAAATTAATTAATTAATTACTTAGTTCATTTATTTATTTTATCTATTTATCTTATTTATTTAATGTATTCTTTCTTTATTTGTGCTTTTTAAACAGTTTTTTACCATGATTTATGATCAACATTATTTTAATATCTATAAAACTTTTTATATTACAATACTCATTTTAGCTCTCATGATTTTATATTTTAACCTTAATTTAACCTTTTTCCAGTGCTTCCTCTGTGGGAGCCCTCTGCCCTGGCGGTGGTGGTTGGCTGTGGCGGCCTGGGTGCTTTCCAGGTGTGCCTGGGTGGTGGTGGGGGTCTCTGCCCTCCCTGCCCCGGGCGCCCGGTGTCAGTGCCTCGGCTGCTGCTGTGGGTCTGCTACTGCCAGGGCGGATGGCTCCCCTGATGGTGTTTCCTTATCTTAGCTGGTCTGGCTCATCTGATCTCAGCCAATCGTGTTTTTTTTTTTTACCATGGGGGAGGGGGCATGTATGTATGTGTGTGTGTGTGTGTGAGTGCATATATGTGTGTGCACGTGTGCGTGTGTGTGTGTGTGTATACGCGTCTGCGTGCATGTGTGTGTGTGTGTGTGTATACGCGTGTGCGTGCATGTGTGTGTGCGCGTGCATGTGTGTGTGTGTGTGTGTATACGCGTGTGCGTGCATGTGTGCGTGTGTGTGTGCACGTGTGCGTGTGTGTGTATACGCGTGTGCGTGCATGTGTGTGTGTATACGCGTGTGCGTGCATGTGTGTGTGCGCGTGCGTGTGTGTGTGTGCGTGTGTGTGTGCGC